CTATGGAGGATTTGTCCCTGTCCGATAAGGAGTACACGAACTTCAAGAAAGAACGGGAGAAGTTTTGTTTTTGTAGTCCACAGTGGAAAATGTGTTGTAATTAAAACTTCACTTTTTTCATATTAACATGAAAAACCTATCAAAAACAAACACATCTATAGTCCCAGCCAATCAAATCCGGACTTTATGTCTAGTCACCCTTGGCAGGCAAAATCCAGGATATGGATCAGTTACTTGTAGGTTTTAATACTGTTCACAGAATAGCATTTCCAAACGTACTCTGAGATCCCTGCAGGTAATGTTGTCCTTGTTACGATCCTGGTTGTTGTCATTTATGAAAGATTTCCCCTGTTATCCACTTAGAAATGAGTGAGAGGTTAAATATTTCAAATTAACCAAATTCGATTCGCCCAAATCCTTTTGATTTTGTGACAAAAGTACTCCTTTCCCTTGGTACCTTGTCCTGGGATTGGGGTGTTACACACAGTCTTTTCAGGCTTTAGAGACACTTCACACGCTGGATGAGGTAAACTGACTTGCTCTTTTATTGAGGTTCCAAAATAAATGCACAGTAAGGTATAAAGGTAACAAAAATATATCAAACAAAAGCCTTGCTCTTCTGAGCACTAACTAAACAAAATAATCAGCTAACTGGGTTGGATGGCTTGTCCATTTCCCAACATAAACATAAACATAAACATAAACCTTACTGCTTCAGGGTTTTCAGCTCTCTGTTTCCACTCACAGAAACCAAACACAATCTCCCTTCTTCCTTGGCAGGGGAGTACTTAATAGCACTGGTAATTGACAATCCTTTTCAGGTGAGTTAGATTAGGATTCAAACTCCAGAACTGGACTTCTCACCAAGCAACTTCCAAAATGTGGAGTGGAGCACTGGCCCACCCTACTCTCCAGGTGCTCCACCCCAGGGCCCAAATATACACATATTTAAAGTGCAACATTCATTAGAACATAACACATTTCCCTGGGGCTAATTACACAAAGTAAGAACCTTGCAAAATCTGGGGAGGTATATAGGTTCCTTCCAGCACAATTCCTTGCTTTCTGTCACACATCCTCCCCCCCAGCTCAGACCTATAGGGTCGAGCGACCATGGACATTAGAGAGTGCATCCGCGAAAGACCATCTGCATTTCCCTGTTTACTCCCAGCCCTATGCTCAATGGAGAAATTATAGGGTTGCAAGCTAAGGAACCAGCGGGTTACTCTACTATTTTTCTCCCTGTTTTGGCTCATCCAAGTAAGGGGTGCATGGTCTGTCACTAGTCTGAATTTTCGTCCCAAGAGATAGTACTTAAGTGTGTCTACCGCCCACTTTATAGCCAGACACTCCTTCTCAACAATGGAATAGTTTCTTTCCTGGGGATTAAGCTTCCTGCTTAAATATAATATGGGGTGCTCCTCACCCTGAATTTCTTGAGAGAGAACAGCACCTAGTCCTACATCAGATGCATCCGTCTGTAAAATAAATTCTTTAGAAAAATCAGGTGTTACCAACACTGGTTGGGCACAAATGGCTTCTTTAAGCTTTCTGAATGCTTGTTCCGTTTCTGGGGACCATTTTACCACTACTGGAGCATTAGCTATAGTAAGGTCAGTTAATGGGCTTCCAATTGTAGCAAAATCGGATATAAATCTCCTGCTCTGTACTGAAATAGGCCGTCAGGAATAGAAAATGCTGTCTTTTCTTTTGCTCGCTCTGTGAGTGGTACTTGCCAATAACCTTTGGTTAAATCTAGTGTAGTGAGGTACCAAGCTCTCCCAAGTCGTTCTACTAGTTCATCAACTCTAGGCATGGGGTATGCATCAAACTTAGAAATAGCATTCAGTTTGCGATAATCATTACAAAACCGTACTGTATTATCAGGCTTTGGTACCAGCACAATTGGACTGCTCCAGTCACTTTGTGACTCCTCAATGACTCCAAGATCTAACATTTTCTTAACCTCTGCTCTGATAGCTTTTCTACGAGCCTCGGGTATTCTGTATGGTTTGAGATTGACCCTTTTTCCTGGTTCTGTTAAAATGTCATGTTTAATCACGCTAGTCCTTCCTGGGACTGGGGAGAATACCTCTTTATTTAATCTAATAAACTCCTTAACTTCCCTTGTCTGGTGTATTGACAGGGTCTCTGAGATATTTACTTCGGGGTCAATATTACACTTATCAGGGAAGGTTGAAGCCTCTGTAGTAACCAGAATTTCCCTTTCTTTCCATGGTTTTAGCAAATTGACATGGTATATTTGCACTTCCTTTCTTCTACCTGGTTGCCTTACTTTATAATTTACCTCTCCCACTCTTTCAATAATCTCATATGGCCCATGCCAAGTTGCCAGGAATTTGTTCTCTACTGTGGGAACCAAGACTAGTACTCTGTCTCCTGGTTGAAATACTCGAATTCTAGCATCCTTATTATAGCTATTCTGCTGATTTTGTTGAGCCTTTTGCATGTGTTCTCTGACTATTGGCATAATGGCTTCAATACGTTCCTGCATCTGAGTTATGTGTTCTATTACACTGCGATGTGGGTTTGCTTCTTGTTCCCAAGTTTCCTTTGCTATGTCAAGTAATCCCCTGGGGTGTCTGCCATATAATAATTCAAAAGGTGAGAAACCCGTGGAAGCTTGGGGTACTTCTCTAATGGCAAACATTAAATAGGGCAATAGAAAGTCCCAGTTTTTCCCATCTTTATCAATTACTTTGCGCAGCATAGCCTTTAAGGTTTTATTAAATCGCTCAACCAAACCATCGGTTTGTGGGTGATAAACAGAGGTTTTGAGGTGTCTAATGTGAAGGAGCTTGCAGAGTTCCTTTGTAACCTTGGACATGAATGGAGTACCCTGATCTGATAGGATCTCCTTGGGAATCCCAACCCGGCTAAACATCATCATTAACTCTTTAGCAATGGACTTTGCTGAGGTTGTGCGCATAGGTATTGCCTCAGGGTAACGGGTAGCATAGTCTAGTACTACTAATATATACTGATGCCCCCTACTGGATTTCACCAGAGGACCCACAAAATCCATAGCAATACGTTCAAAAGGCACTTCAATAATAGGCAAGGGTACTAAAGGGCTACGGTAAGCCGTAAAGGGCGCAGTGACCTGACATTCAGGGCATGACGAACAGTAGTTTTTGATAGCTGCGATTACTCCAGGCCAGTAAAATCTCCTCAAAACACGCTCTCTTGTTTTGTCAACCCCTAGGTGACCCCCCAAAACATGGCTATGTGCAAGGTTTAACACAGTGCGCCATTAGGCTTGTGGTACTAACAGCTGCTTTGTAATAACGGACTCTTTTTTCTCAACTCTGTACAACAGATCATTATCAACTTCAAAATAAGGGTAAGTAAGAGAATTCCCTGGATTGACAGGGGATCCATTCCTTATAGAAATATTATTCCTGGCTACCAATAATGTTGGGTCAGACCACTGTGCACTTCTGAAGTTACCAGGCCTAACCTCTAAATCAACTAACTCTATATCTGGTTCAGAGCTTCTAGAAGGTCCCGCATTAGTTTGTTCTGGGTTTTCACCAACTAATGTTTTTATAAGGGAGTGCTGCATACTGTTAGGCTCATCATCATGATCTCTCTCATCTGCCAGAGTATCTGCAAAAGGAAATTCATCATTCTGTTCATCTGATGGTTTTCAAAACATGCCCATAGGTCTAGAAAATGGGGAAAATCCCTTCCAATAATCATCTCATGTGCCAGTTTTGGTACCAGCCCCACTCTGCAGTTTACAGTACCACACTGGGTTTTAACAAGTATATCTGCAGTAGGGTAGTTATGTATATCCCCGTGTACACAAGCAATATCAACTTTTCCAGAGTAAACAATATGAGTATCCTGTAATAAGGATTGGTCTAGAAGGGTAACCATACTCCCTGAATCTAGCAATGCCTGTATATTTTTTCCCTCCACATTCACGGTACACCCAGGGTGACTATTCAAATAACCATTTTTTTCCACAGAACATACAACCTGCGAATAGAGTGCAATTCCTTCCCAATTATTACCAAAATTACACTCCATTGGTTCAACATTTTCAGGACAGTCTTTTGCAATATGTCCAAAGTTTCTGCATTTAAAGCATTTTATACCATAATTAGTACTTTTTGATTCATTTGTAGGCTCTTCCCACCTCCCAAAGTCTTTTTCTCTTTTAACAATGTCTCTTGGGTAATAAGACCCTGTTCTCTCATCAAAAGACCCCCTTTTCCCTGGAACAGTCTTACCAGATTTGCTGGGGTTGTAGGTTTTCGGATTCTTGGGTCTCTCTTGGCCAGGAGGTTGAAGCAGTTCTCCCGCTGCTATATACCGTTCAACCAATTCAACCAATTGGTCAGCTGTTTGGGGATTGCTCTGGCTGACCCACCGACGAAGCCCAATAGGTAAGCCTCTTAGGAATCTTTCCATCACCAGTTGCTCCACAATGCGGCTGGGTGAGTTGATCTCTGGCTGCAACCATTTTCTGGCAAGGTGTATCAAGTCAAACATCTGGGAACGAATCGCTTTATCCAGGCTGTAAGTCCATGAATGAAATCTCTGGGCACGGACGGCTGTTGTCACCCCCAGGCGTGCCAGTATTTCTGCTTTCAGCTTCTTGTAGTCACTGGCTTCCGCTGGTTCCAGATCATAGTATGCTTTCTGGGATTCACCAGTAAGAAACGGTGCTAGCAGACTTGCCCATTCCGCTTCAGGCCAACCTTCTCGCTCAGCGGTTCGCTCAAATGCCATCAGATAGGCCTCTACATCATCTGTGGATACCATCTTTTGCAAGTAGTGACTCACTCTGATCACCTTTGGACATTGTGGTAAGTCTGTGGCATCCCTGGCCAGCCTTTGTGATAGACTCTGGATCTCCTGCTGTATGACACATGTGGCACGCTGCTGCTCCTCTCTGAGCACTTGATGCGCTGCTGCCTGTGTTGTTTCAACTTGCTTGAATAAAGCATCTGTATTTTCCTTTTGAGCCAGTACAAGCTGCTGCAGTATTGAAATGCTCTCTTGCTGTATTGCATTAGTCTCTGCAGTCCTCCTGTTTGTCTCTTGCTGTACAGCAGTGGACTGGAGCAAAGCTTTCATGACATCCTCCATTTTCTCAGCAGTCTCTTTCTCCCTACTTACAGACTTTGCCGTGTGCTGCACGCATTCTCCACCATATGTGACAAAAGTACTCCTTTCCCTTGGTACCTTGTCCTGGGATTGGGGTGTTACACACAGTCTTTTCAGGCTTTAGAGACACTTCACACGCTGGATGAGGTAAACTGACTTGCTCTTTTATTGAGGTTCCAAAATAAATGCACAGTAAGGTATAAAGGTAACAAAAATATATCAAACAAAAGCCTTGCTCTTCTGAGCACTAACTAAACAAAATAATCAGCTAACTGGGTTGGATGGCTTGTCCATTTCCCAACATAAACATAAACATAAACATAAACAGCCTTACTGCTTCAGGGTTTTCAGCTCTCTGTTTCCACTCACAGAAACCAAACACAATCTCCCTTCTTCCTTGGCAGGGGAGTACTTAATAGCACTGGTAATTGACAATCCTTTTCAGGTGAGTTAGATTAGGATTCAAACTCCAGAACTGGACTTCTCACCAAGCAACTTCCAAAATGTGGAGTGGAGCACTGGCCCACCCTACTCTCCAGGTGCTCCACCCCAGGGCCCAAATATACACATATTTAAAGTGCAACATTCATTAGAACATAACACATTTCCCTGGGGCTAATTACACAAAGTAAGAACCTTGCAAAATCTGGGGACGTATATAGGTTCCTTCCAGCACAATTCCTTGCTTTCTGTCACAATTTATTCTAGTAAACCAAATCGAATGAACCAAATTTTTTGTCTGAGTCTAATGGTGACTGGCTTTATTATCAAAATAACATTTGACCACTTTACCAGTCTATAGATTACCCCGTATGTGTGATACTGCCACAATGGGGTAAATTTAAAGGTTAAGAGCCATGCCTCCATAAACCATCGATCACCAGAAATGGACTGCTGCGTCAGTCCAAAACACTGTGGACTAGTCAGAAAGTGGAGGGATAAACATGGACATATCCTTCCAATTCAGAAACTTTTGCCACATGAGTAAATCGGCCTGGGCAGGGGGATCAATCACTACAGTGCCATTGTCAGGCAGCCCAGGGAGGAGGCAATGGAGAATTTAAATGAAAGATCTTTCTTGTGAGATAATTTGCATAGCAAAGTTGAAAGACCACAACAAGGACTGAAGAGCTTTACGAGTAGATAACGTCAATTCAAGGAACCTGTCCAAGTCCTCCCAGAAGTGGGAGGTAGTTTTTTTTTCATCCAGGAAGCTAGCTTGCAAAAGTAAGCAATCTAAAAGAATACCCAAAACCACCAATTTAGTTGTGGGGCCTATGGTCTTGTCAGGAGACAGTGAGAGTCCCAATGTAGAGAATACTATTAGGGGAGTTTTCCCTACTTCAACCAACAAGAACTCATCTAGATAGTGTATCACCATGGGGCATCTGACAACATTGAGGAGCAGCCAGCAGAGTGTTTCAGCAAAAATATCAAATAATTTAAGGCTAGATGCAAAATAATGATTATCCCTTCACTTGACACCATGGATGTGCCACAATAAAAGGTGAAATTGGAAGCAACTTGAATGTGTTTGATGTGTCAGTTTTACTGAGCCAAGCAGCCCTGCCCGCAATCAAGATTGCCTGGATGGCATTATTCATGGTGGCATAGTGTTGGTGAAATTCGTCAGAGGGGATTAGTGAGCGAGGAATGAGGACCAAAGAGTTTGATTATCATTCTTTTTGTATTTGAATATTTGCTCATGGCAACACCGATGGCTGTAGGATTTCCTTCTCGATTAAAGTGTCAACTGTATGAGGGTCTTAAGATTCAAATAAAAGGTTAGGACATTCCAGAGTGCCTACAATGAGTACAGTAATACCATTGTGAAAACCCTGAGTAATACCTGTCACCAGAAAATCTTCCAAGTGAGCAGAAGGGAGAGATTGTAGATAATATGACAGGGTGTCAATGTTGACCTTAGTCAGTCACTTTACGAGGAATAATTTAGAAGGGCACATGGATTTTGCATGTGCCTTAAAACACTGTGACAAATTAAAAAGAAAAAACATAATAAATTAAGAAGCATACTAAGACCAAACATTAACGGACCACTCTAGGCACCCAGACCACTTCAGCTTAATGAAGTGGTCTGGGTGCCAGGTCCAGCTAGGGTTAACCCATTTTTTCATAAACATAGCAGTTTCAGAGAAACTGCTATGTTTTATGAATGGGTTAAGCCTTCCCCTATTTCCTCTAGCGGCTGTCTCATTGACAGCCGCTAGAGGCACTTGCGTGCTTCTCACTGTGATTTTCACAGTGAGAGCACGCCAGCGTCCATAGGAAAGCATTATGAATGCTTTCCTATGTGACCGGCTGAATGCACATGCAGCTCTTGCTGCGCGTGCGCATTCAGTCGACGGGGAGGAGAAGAGGAGGATCGGAGGAGGAGAGCTCTCCGCCCAGTGCTGGAAAAAGGTAAGTTTTACCCCCTATCCCCCTTCCAGAGCCGGGCGGGAGGGGGACCCTGAGGGTGGGGGCACCCTCAGGGCACTATAGTGCCAGGAAAACGAGTATGTTTTCCTGGCACTATAGTGGTCCTTTAATGAATAGACTGGCATGCTAGCTAGTGCCTGAAAGGCAAAACAATTATCTACCCCATAGCAGGTGAGGGCCTGCTAATTGCCAAGTGGCAGTGGACAGGCACTATCAATAATTTGCGTAGTTTGGCTGAGGCCACTGGCAGGATGATGGCCTTTTGGTGACAGTTAATATCCAAAACGTATGATCGTGACGTGTGAGGCCCTATTTATGACCCAAATGTATGGTAAGGCGAGGCAATAACTATGACGCGGGCCGTTTGGACGAAAACCTCTGTGTTAAGGTGGGGGGTTGGCATAGCGGGACAGTATGATAAGTTATGCCAATTTAAGGCCAGCAGCTAAACATCACAACCACTTCTCTTTCCTAGATGAGGGCTTGAATCATGTTGTGAATAAATGAATGTAATGAGTATGTACCTTTGAAAGACAAGACAAGCACTAGTTGGTAGGTAAAGCAGATTTGAAGAGAACACCTAAAATTTATATAGGTGCTTGCTTGCAAAGAATTAGAATAACTGTATCCTATATGTGGGAATAAGCACTATTACATATGTCATGCCAAGGGTGCATAATTCATTGTTGCATAATAGAATATTGCCATTTAATGTAATGTGTAGTGCATATATGAATTGACCACTTGGTAGAGATCAGATGACAGAAGGGTTAATGAAATTGCATTGGAATGTGAAAGGGTTCAGATGGTTTACCATATGGATTGATCCTTTGATTAATCAAAGGCTCTGCAAGGTGAGAGAAGTCACACATAAGTGGCCTGGAAGTCTGGTTTAAATATAAACTAACTCTCTAATTTGCCATATGTCTAAATTCCCCCTTTGATATGTTAATGGCCATTAGCCTTGTGTTCCAGTATCATATCCAAAAGAAACATTAATAATTACGCCTCATTATATTATATTTAGAATGGCACAAGCACATCTTCTAATCAAGCCCAAACATGATTAGCTTAACTTAACCATAGGGGAAGGGATTGTGATGTCGGCTTTATTGGGTCACAAGTAAGGAACGTGACATATCTATGGATTGGAAAAATGGTAACACATTCATAGATGCAATTATTATTTCTGTGGCAAGTACATAAAAGGAGATAGAACCAAATGTTTTCATTTGGATTGATGTTGGTCTGGAACACAAGGGGGTGGTCACTTATAGTTACTATAGCTACGCCTTATCTCCACCTCTGGGCGAGGCTTGCTAATCCACAGGGTATATATCTAATGACTGGGGGCCAGAATCTAATTCTGAGTGAGTCACAATCTCCCTTACCAGAAGGACTTGCTTGGGGGGCCAGAATCTAATTCTGAGTGATTCACCATTTCCTTTACCAGAGACCCCCTGGGCAGAAGTTTTACTTTGATAACTTGAGTAAGTGATTAGGACTTCTGCTATTTTATCCCTTTTTGTTTTTTATCTGTTGTTTGTGTAAATAATTTGTTTATCATCTATTTTTTGTATTCACTGTAACTACTTTTCACTCTTAATAAATATTCCTTTATTAAGTTCTGCCTTTGTCTGGTTAAGAATCACATTACCTGAAGAGACTAATTAGTGTTTTGCAATTGCTTAAATATTGTGTTAAGTTATATTTGGTGGGTTTTTCTTATTAAGTAACCTGGGGGACCAAGGCACCCTATTTATAAATTGTCTTGGTGGTGGCCGCGTTAAAATAGTAATAGTTATATTATTATGGTTAAGTGTGGGTGGTGTTAAGTGGGTTTTTATCATTATTTCCGGTCTAGTGCAGACAAATAGTGAACTTTAATCCTTTCACTACGACAACCACGTCACGCACACTCTTGTAGTAGGGTTTGTTTGTGACAACATATGCAGAGTAAGTGAAAAGAGAGAGCTATATAACATAATTACCTAGAAATATCACTGGAGCTATGCACCGGCCCTGAAGTGATGGTGACCAATGGTTGCAGGGGTTGCAGCAGCGACTGGGCCCCCTGGAGTGAAGGGCCCGGTCGCAGCGATGACGTAGGCGCACATAGCCGGTGTAACGGATCACCTGGAACCCTGACTGGGTACCTCCATTGAAGGATGCTCCTAGCACTTCCTGAGGTCTCCAAGCACTCCAGCCGACACCATAACCACCGTAGACTCCTTCAGAGGGCAAAACAGGAACAAGCTCTTACAAGAGCTTAGTAGTGATTATAGCAAGAGAGTATGACTAGCATAGAAATCCCTTGTAGCAGATTCCCCCAATAAGAGACTCAGATTGAGGGTGAAGTAGAACTCCAGCTTTTAATCAAACACTCTGCTTTTATGCACATTTTACATGCATCGTACTGCCCACAGGGTTTTGCAGAACAACCAATCAATAGGTACAATACACACAGACACTCCCACACAAAATCCTCCCCTCTGCCTGTGATACAATTACCTTACGCAATGGGTTAATGTAATTATCACAGGCAGAGAAATACAGTTTTTACACATGTACTGTAACTTTAAAAATATGCATTCAGTCTTCATTACATATTCGAACTCAGCACACTTTAATTACAAACATATCCAAAATTCAGCCAATTCCATCCAGGGGTTAAAAA